CTGGGGCCTTTACCTGTTTCTGTCGTGTCCTCCTTGTGCATCGGGCGTGAACGCTTCTGCTGGAGCACAGCAGAGAGATCCATTCTGTTGGCAGAAAGTGGTTCCATTGAAAGCCATGGGAAAAGGCAGCTCTTCTTATCTCAGATGCAGGGACTCTGCGATCTGATAACTCCAGCAGGCCCTCTGGCTGCCTGAGCTGGAACAGAGCCAGGCGCCTGCTCTCCACTGGAGACACGCCCCCTGGGCTGGTGCTCCCGGGTCCTGTGGGCGCTCTCTGCAGAGCAGCCACCACCTCGGGAGCTACTTGCCCACACTGGGTTCCGGTACTTTCCCCTGAAACAGTGGGCTTGGCCCTGGGCCACCACAGCTTAAAAATGCTTTGTAAGGTTATCTGTTTTTATTTTAACCCAAAAGCTATATCCAAAATATAGCAGGAAAAGAAAAAGAAAGAGTTGAAGTTCGACAGGCCAAAATATCAGCTTCTATTTATGTTGGCTCAACTTTCAAAGAAGGTGCCTGACCAGCACACTTCCTAAGCTGTGGCCACGTCCTGTCAGCCCCCCCGAGGCTGCCCCCTGTGCCCCTGGGAATCCTAAGAAACAGCTCCTGGGAGGTGGGTGACTGATGCTCTTGACCAGGGTAGCAATTATGACTTATTTGTGGGATTGATGAGTCTTAGGGAAAAATAGATGTACACATGAACACAGATGCACGGACACTCACACATAGAGGCCTATGCATTCACACATGCTCACATACACACCTGCAAGTGCACGCCCACACCCTCATTTGCGCTAAGCATTCTGAAATCGTTTGGAATTGTTGCAGTGAGCATTGGGACACGATTAGGAACTGCACACTGCACCTCGCTTCACCAGTTGTTAACATCTTGCCCTACAGTGCCCCTCTGTCACTGTGTGTGTGTGTGCGCAATGTGGATGTTTTTCTGTATTAGCCCAGGATAGTGTAGGCATTGCACTGCTTTGCTTCTAAGTAGCGTAAGTGTGTATTGTCAGAATTGGGACGTTTTCGTGAGCGGCTTATGGAGTTCGCTCAGATTTTGCCATCTCTTCAGTAATGTCCAGTGATGTCCTCTGTGCTGCTTTACATCTGGGCTCCAGATTCTGTTCAGGGCCATGATTTACCTCTCACCTGCACGTCCTGTGGCATCGTCTAAACAGGAATCGAGTCTCGGCGCCTGTCCTCACTCCTCTGTCGCGTAGCAGTCGCCTCCTGGCAGCTCAGCTGATATTTCCTCAGGGTTGGGCCCTTCGCTGGGCTTGGTGCACGGCATCAGGAGACACACGGAATCAGTCTGCTGGCTGGGGACGTGGGTCTCCCTAAGGGGTTCTGTTGGTGTCTGACCAAACCAAGGGTCTGTGAGCACGCTGCCCGAGGGGGGAGATGAGCAACTCCAACTTCACAGCCCCCAGGGCCTGGGCAGAGGACTGTGCCCAGTAGGGTGGATTCTGGTTCTGGGCTCAGGCCCTCTGCCTACACTGTCCTGGGCCCTGCGTAGTCCAGCTCACTGACAGGAGCACATCGGCTTCCCTGTGTCCACTCACATTGCTCCCCCAGCCCCACTGGGGCCAACCAGCCGGGCAGCTCCTGCCTCCTGAGCCAGGGCAGAGCCCAGGGCCTGAGCAGCGTGGCCCAGACCCGCCCTGCACACCAGGCAGCCCAAGGGCTCTCCTGGCAGGGGTGGGGGCCCGTCCCCAGACAGCCTGCTCCCTGGGGACCTCATGGGCTACAGACACCTCCCTTGTGCACCCACGCTGTGGTGCCTGGGATTGGGAGTGACCCTGCCTTCTCTAGTCCCCACTGGGGGCTCGTCTGCCAGGGAGGGGACCGCCAGTCAGGCTCATCCTGTCCTGTGTCAGAGTGCTGGGGTCCCCGGAGGGGCCAGGGCTGTGAGGGGCCCTGCTGGGTGGTCCGATGCATTTATCTGAGTCATGCTGTGGGGTGATTGGCAGGCAGTGTGCCGTGGGCCGGTCGGCATTCTGGGCCTGGGCCAGAAGCTCAGTGCTTAGGTGCTGGGACACAGTGCCGAGCTAAGGGGTCCTCCTCAGCGGTGTCGTGGGACAGAAATGGGCTGTGATCCTTGAAGAGCACTCTCCAGATGACGATCTAGCCAGCCGGCGAATACCACCTAGGACGGGAACTGGAGAGCCCACCACAGGGCCTCGGTATTGTCCTCGTGGGCCTCTTTCTTGTACCTTCCTGCCGCAGTGGTCCCCTGAGGCTGTCAAATCAGGAAAGGGCCATAGTGGCCTTGACCTTCTTTCTGGTCCTCGGTGAGGCAGAGTCACCAACCCCAGAAACCCTGCCCGCCGTGTCGGACGATGTGGGAAGCCCCAGGGTCCCATGCCCAGAGCATCTCACTCCACCTGGGCCCAGGAGAAAAGCCTCAGAGAAGGTGTCTGGGGCTCCCTTGGGCGGAGCAGAGGTGGGCCCACCTCCGTAGGACGGGTGGGGGAGGTTGTCAGGTGCACCAGGCCACCGGGCCACAGGAGGGGCCCCCACGCCAGCAGCCTCTGGAGTCAGCCCCTGGCCTCTCTGTGTGAGCTGTGGGGGACTGGTCAGACAGCAGGGTGGCCTGGTGGCATCGCGGGTGCTGAGTGGGGCCCACTCCCACCTTTTGGATGCCTAGGGACCTCAGAGGTCAGATCCACAATCCCTTCCTGGCCCCAGGCACCACAACTGGTTCATTGACTGCCCCACAAAGGGGGTTCCCGTTTGATGAGATGCACAGTAGGTCCTCAACTGTCTGCAGCGTGCCCTTTTCTGGTTTCTCTTTAGACTGTAGGACCAGGGGACAGTTCAACGCGTTTTCCTACCACTTCCGAGGCAGGCGGTCTCTGGACTTCAGCTACAGGGAGGACAATCCCCGCCGGGGAATGCGGCCCCGGAAGATGCGAAGGTGCTGGTCTCTTGGTTCACTGACAGGGGCACATCAGCTTCCCTGTGTCCTGGTGACCGGCCGCGGTCTCCCTGCCAGCCCGCGCCTTTTCAGGCTGTCACGGGAGGGAGGTGGGGGAGCCCTGGGGGCTACGCTGGGCCTTGTGCTCAAGGGACTCAGGAGCCAGGATCTGAACCGGTGGGTGAGTCTGTGCTCCTCCTCCCGTAGTGCGCTGAAACCCAGCGAACCACAGGGCAACACCACCTCAGCCGCCCGGGAGCGCCCGGGAGCACCGGTGACCAGCGACTTCCGAGAGTTTGTCCTGGAAATGCAGAGGACCATCACAGAGCTCAGGAAGCAGGTGAGGCGGGCTGAGCCCTCCACCGCAGCCGCCTGCCTCCTCCCATCAGGAGGCCTGAGGGCGAGCACCCTGCTGGGCACCACTCCAGTCCAAGGCTTGCTGCTGTGGGCCCTGCTCGTCTCCCCGGGTTTCCCAGAGGATCAGGGACAGCTGGCAGTGGGTAGTGAGTGTCATGGGCGTGGGGCCACCCGCCAGGTGACTTTGCTGAGAACACAGCTGGTGCGAAGTCTCCGGAAGCCCCAAGGGCCCGCTGGGGAGGAGGCAGACCTGGACTCCATTCAGCTGCTTGGAGAGGGACGGCTGCAGCCGGGACTCGGGCGACACCCTGCTGGCTGCTGGGTCCTGTGGGGATTTCCAGGCAGCTGTGGCTCAGGCCTGGCCTTGTCGTGGTGCTGAGCTCAGTGCCCGCACGCGTGTCTCCGTTGAGACCCACACAGGCCCAGTTCTGAGTTAACTCGGGATCAGCCGCACGTGCCTAGGGTCCTGGCAGGGTAGACAGGCCTGCGGTCACTCAACCCTGGGGCAGCCTGGCCCGTGCAGAGGTAAGGGTGTGCTCTGACAGGCCGAGACCCCTGTTGTGGTTGGCAAGAAGCCGCCCCTGTGGACACACACAGGCAACAGGTTGGCGGTCTCCTCTGCGCACAGCTGTGTGGCCTACTGTGAGGGCAGCTGCCGCTGCAGCTGGGCAGGGTTCACAGATGTTTGTTCCCAGAACAGGAAGGCGTGTGGTGAGTGTGCTCTCTCTATGCCGGACCTCAGCACCACTGAGATCAGGCTCAGCTGCAAGGGACAGGGCACCCCGAGGGGGAAGCATTCCGTGAGCACAGCATCCCTGTCACGGAGTGCATGGCGGCAGACAGTGGCGGGACCTTGGCTTCTCCCTGCTTCTAGAGGGGCCTTCTGCACAAAGGCCCGGGTGTGGGAAGCTGGCCCTCGGAGGGTCCTGGGCTCCTGCAGCCTCCCCCACATCCTGCCTCACTGACCCACACCTTGACTGTGGACACCATGTGTCCAGGGCACAGCAGCAGCCCACCCATGGGAAGCCAGGTGGCCTAATCCCCAGGCTGGCCGGCCACCGCTCCTGGGAACACTGCGTGTAGTGCGCTCTGCCCTGGATTGCGGGCAGTCATGGGAGGAAAGCGCCCTCGCTTCCAAGTCCCCTCCTGTCTGTTCTGTTGAGCTCCTGTGGCTTCAGAGAGGCTACAGGCCATCGGGAGCCTGTCTGGTCAGTGCCACTGAGGCTCCCAGCAGTGCTTCAGGGTTTTGTGTGTGAACAGTGTCAGGTGTCACCTCATGGGGGAGGCTTGCTCAGAGGCGACGGGACGCTCTGTGCCCCGCTGCAGATCAACAGGCTGGAGTCCCGGCTCAGCACCACAGAGTGTGTGGATGCCAGTGGAGAGCCCCGTGTCAACAGCGCCACGTGGAGACCCGACCCCTGCACCGTCTGTGGGTGCAAAGTGAGTACAGAGCGCCCGCCACGCCACACGTCAGGGCCAGTCCAGCTCCTCCCAGGTCCTTGCCTTTCCCCGGGAGCACCAGGGGCCCACCTCTCGGTGCCAGCTGTCGCTGTGCCTACCAGGCAGTGCTGGTGCCCAGACCTGGGCAGTGTGCAGCCAGGCTCAGGGCAGGACAAGCAGTGGGCACTGGGCGCTCCAGCTCCACCTTCTGCCAGCTGTGGCACTAACGTGTCCACCCTGGAAACCTGAAAACCCAGCCGCTGGGCTCCTTCCCCCGAGAGTCCCTGATAATCACCTGCCCGTTCGCTCTGTCCAGTGCTGGCCTGGGGCACCAGCAACACGGGAAATGGGGCTCGAGCTGGCTTTGGGAGAAGGTGGGCAGGGGCGTGGGTACCAGGAGCAGCAGCAGCCAACTGCAGCCCAGACTGGGGCTGTCGGGCTGTGAGCATGAGGACCCCCAGGCGCCTCGGGTGCCGCTGCAGATGAGGCTGTGCCTTTGTCGGGGATGTGGGGAGGCACCCGGGCACCTGGGCCTGTCTCCTTTGGGCAGCAAACAGGGAGAGCAGGCCTAGGTGGCCTCCTGGTGTTCTCTGACCCATTGTCCTGGAGGAATCGGGTAGGAGGAGGGTGAGTCACCCACGATCCCAGTGGCAGTCACCTTACCTTGGGTCTGTAGCTGGGAAGCCTGCCAAGAAGGGCCCCTTTTCTAGTCACAGGAGAGGGAAGGCCTCTGCAGGCCAAGGGGTGGGGACGTGGATACGGAGTGACGGCCCCAGGTCCGGGTCAGTTCTTGAAATGACACTGTGCCCATCTCCCCCTCCCCCAGGACGGGCAGGTCACCTGCTTCGTGGAATCCTGCCCTCCTGCCACCTGCCCGGAGCCCGTGGAAACGGAAGGAGCCTGTTGTCCAGTCTGCGTAGAGAAAGGCCCGGAGGAGAAGCCCTAGCTCCTGCAGGCTCCCGGGTGGGTCTGTGCAGCTCTGGCAGGAACAGAGTCCACCAGGAGTGCAGGCCAGAGGGAGCCCCTGCACTCCGGTGTGTCGGGCCTGGGCTGGGCCTCACACAGCAGTCCAGGCGCCCCAGACCCGCTCCGTGGAGGAAGCGGCAGGCAGGAAGGGGACCCACTCTGTTAGACGTCTCAGGTTTTATTTAATTCTTTCAAGTGAAAATCTGGTGCTACTATTAAATCGCACAGTTAACTCTTCAGGCTCCTAAGTTGATTCTGCCTGATAACACCACTTCTTTTCCGTTAGGCAGGCCTCTGATCGCCTGCTGCGCCTGCTCTGGGGCCAGGCACTGGCAGACAGGTGTTGCCGGCAGTCGGGGGCCTCACAGAGAGGAGGCAGGAGGCTCTCGAAGCCTGGGCTGCATCAGACCACACTAAAAAAGAAAACCACGTTTGGCACGAAACAAAACGGCATCTTCAGGAGAGCGCTCTGGGGACCCGGTCGGGTCACTCGGGCTCCCGCTCCCTGCCTGCTGTCTGCCCCACCTTCTTGGTCCTTTCTCAGCTCCTCAGTATCTAACCATGAAGCGAAGCAGCTGTGTGTCAGTGACTGCTCCTCCTCCCACGGAGGGACGTCACCAGGCCACCCTACCGACGGGCTCTTCCTCCTGGAGCCGGAGTGGGAACCTTCCCTCTGCCTCCTGGAGCCTCCTGGAGGCCCATGCACTGGCCAGTGGCCTGCGGCCTTGGTGTGCCTGCCAGCTCCTCTGCTGACCGCGAGCAAGGCCTACTCTCCAGGTCCTCTGCAGGGCAGTGACAACCGGAGTCCAGCGTGGGGACTCTGACGCCACATCACGTGAACCTTTAAAAAATGAGTCCCTGTACCTTGTGTTTTTTAACTGCATGATGTTTTGTATTAAAAAAAAAAAAAAAAGCCTGCCCATTTCTTAGGTGTAGACATGGCAGAAACGTCATTATACAAAAGTATTTTTTTGTTTTATTTTTATTTTTTAACTTTTGTTTTTAGAATTTAGTGAAAAGCAACTGTCATACCTCATGGTCTCTTTTTAATTGACCAAAACCTTCCATCTTAGTCTAAAGACGGAGTGATCTGGGTTCTGAGGAACATTCTAGCTTGCTGATTCCCTTCTACACATTTCTGAGTCTCTTCCTGCCTGAGGCTGGCTGGGAGGGGACCCGGAGGACCCAGGTCTAGAGTCAGGTGGCAGGAGTCAGCCTGGAGCATGCAGGGAGACCATTGTGGGCACAGGGAAGACTGGGCTTCTGGCAGCCTCTGGCACAGGAGGGGCCCTTGCAGCCTGGGGAGGTTGGTGTGATGGATGGCTAGCCTGGTGTCCTCCCAGGGGTCGCTGAGGCCTGCTGCACAGACTGCGGGGTGTTGGCAGTGGACTATGGTCTGTGTACACATGTGGGTATTGGACTCTTATCCTCACATTGCTAAAGAATAAATTCAGGCTGGTTTGTATTTCTCAGGCCACAGCGTTTCTTCTGAAATATTAAATCAAATTTAGCAATCGAATCTTAAAGCAGTTCCGTGAACGAGGAAGCTCACGAGTTTGCCTAAATCCTCTGGCTAGTGGCTCAGGTGGCAGAGTGGCCGTGACCTGCACTGGGGGCTCTGCTGCTGCACACAGAGGAGCTGCGGTGCAGCGCGTGGCTTGGGCCAGGGTCTAGGGCTGTCAGTCTCTGTAACTCCAACTGACGTGCCTCTGGGGTCCCCAGCTGGCGCTCGGTCCTGGTTACCTGAGGATCGTCCTGGCAGCAGGTGAGGGCCGTGCTGTGGCCTGAAGCCTAGTGTATATATTTGTTTCCTGTTCTGTCACCAACAGCCAATGCCTTTTCATGTTCACTGTATTCAGTACCTTACCAAAGAAACATTTGCACTATGTAATGACGCCTTCAGTTCCAATAAAAGGCCCACCGTGTGCAGGGGAGCCCGGCTCTTTCTTTCTACCTCGAGATGATACTTGGGGCTACAGCTCGTTGTGCAGGTGACAGTGAAGCTGGATGAAGAAAGAGGTGGGTCCTCAGCAACTGCCCAGGAGTGCCCCAGTCGCGGGTGGTTCTGTCCCGCAACACGAGCAGGAAGAGGAGAGCGGGCCTTAGGTAAAATGGCTCTCCCTCAGAGGCAGCAAGCCTTCTTTTCGTGACATGGCAAATCTGATGTTGAGTATCTTGTGTGTGGCATGAGCAGGTCTCCATTTCTCCCCATCTTGAACTTTGGGAGACTGCAGAACGGCCACCGCAGGAGAGCACCCGTGTGTTTGAACAGTTCATGGGGCGCCAGCCCCACCTCAGCCGCGCCAGCCCCAGGCCCGAGGTTGCGCCCTGGGTTTTCCTCAACGTTCCTGCTGGGTTCTTCGGGAGTTTCTGTTTATGCCCAAGACATCCACATGAAGGGTTCCCACTCATTAACATTCATGCAACAATCGTTCAGGAGCCGGGCCCAGAGGCAGGCTGTGGGCGGCGACTGGCTTTACGCCTGCGGGTCTCCATCTGTGCTTGGAGCCTGTGGTTTCCCCTGGAGACCGACCGCGGGGACTCCAGAGGAAGGAGCAGCTGCCAGGCCCCCGCAGCTCCTCCCTCGTCCTTCCTGTGATGCCCTCAAGGTCTCCCCGACTTGACAAAGTGACCTTCCAGGGAGTGTTTCTCCTCGTGCCAGGACGCGCCTCCTTCCTGCTGGCCTGGTGTTCCCTCTGCCCCTTGCCATGACTGTTCAGCTACTGATCAAGCTGGTTTGGCTTTTCCCCGGAGGAAGTTTGGGGTGGTGAGGAGCAGAAGCTCTGGCTCCCCTGCTGTTGTCTTTCCTTTTCTGGCATGGAGCATATCATCAGGGGTCAGGGAAAATGTCATTTTCAGTGCGTTTTATCAAAACCGAATCTGTCGTCAGTGGTCATTGATCCACAGATCAAAGCCCAGACTAGACAGCCATGACCTTGGCATCCCTGCTTCCTAGATGGTCTGCCCCCTTGCAGCCCGAGGGCTCCCTCCCTGCCGTTCTGGGCTCACTGAGCCACGGGCAGGATGTGCACAGGGTCACTGCTGGGCACCGGGCTTGCAGCTGCTCTGGAGGAAGTTCCTGCAGCCGCTCTTGTGTGTGCTCCTTGATGATGACGGCACAGCCGTCCCCTCCTGGGACCAGCAGTGGTCCTTCCTGGTAACTGTGACTCAGTGTGGGGAGGAGGTGGAGCAGGGCGTGCCGTGTAGCGGTTCTATAGCTAGGCCCTTGTCCAGGTTGTGGCTTTAGGATGGGGTTGGGGGGCGGCTAGTGTAAATTGTTAACCACGGGATAAATATTTCTTGTTGTTTACACTTGAGGAATAACACCATTGTTTGTATCCTGAGATACAAAAACTGAAACGCAGGGAAAATTTTATTTTCAGTGTGTTTTATCAAAACCGAATCTGCCGTCACCTCTATTTCCATCCCTTGGTCCATGGGGGACAATCTCTGGGACCTTGTCCAGCCTGAGCGCCTATCTCCCACCCCTAGGGTGCTTGGTTTCTCTGGGGATCCTTTCCAATTCAGCTCCCAGCTGCTTGGCGACGCCCCTTGCTTCCCAAGCTGAAAGCCTTTAGCAGTGTTCACAGGGCACCTACTGGCAGCCATGCTTGGTGCTGTCTCTGGGTTGTGCCAGCAGGTCCATCCTGAAATACAGAGAGGAGACTAGACATAGCGAGGACAGACGGGGAGAAGACAGCGGGTGGGGGGGTACATACAGCATGGATGCCCATGAGCCAGACAGTGAAGGCTAGCTGGGGCTAGAGACTGGTGTGGACAGAAGGAAAGGGGCCACTGGGCACAGGCCGGGTGTAGACAGCTGTGGAGTAGCCTAGATTCACATCTAGTTATGGCATAGAGTAGGCATTGACATGGGCTGGGTGGAGGCTAGATAAGCAATCATGTAGATGGATGCACACTGGTGTGGACGACGTAGAGAATCCAGAGCCGTGGGAACAGAGGGATCTCGTTCAGATACAGACTACGTAGGTCAGAGCGAGGTGAGATGTGCCCTGAGCCTGAACGTGGACTAGCATTTCCTGACCTGAAAAGCAGCTGGCCAGGGCTGAGGCGCCCGCAGAGCAAGGGGGCAGCAGTTTTGCCTGGGCTGACCATCCAAGAGCTGACGGGGATTGCCCCGGGCTCTCCTCACACAGGGTGGGAGTTGCTTGGCCAAAGGGTGCCCTGTGAGCTCCCGGTCACAGGAGGAACTCGGGGCAGGAAGTAGGCACTGGAAAGAGGACCCACATGGAGGGCCAGGGCCTGCAGTCAGAGGACAGTGTCCAGCCACATGCTGAAAATTCTCCCACCAGGGCTCGGACACATATGGCCACGAGGCCACCCCTCCTTCAGAGCTGTGTCGTGCCACCCGCCCAGATGTGAGCATGACCCAGGCATGGACTCTGCACCTGCACTGCTGCCGTTGGGTGCACTGAGCACCACCGGGGCTGGCCGGGCACAGGGTTAGGGCACGGAGGTGCTGACCTTGAAGGTCAAGCCCAAGCTATTCCTGTGAGTCACCTTCTGGCCTCAGGAGTGGATTTTGTATCAAGATCTTAGAAGTGTGTTCTGGGCTCCGCCCCAGGCAGGGTCTGGAGGGTAGCCCGTGCTCGGGCTGCGGCTGCTCCTCTGTGATACAGCTTCAGCTTGGGTGTTCTGTCCACACCCGGGTTACGGAGTTGGGGCCTTCCGGGAAACAGGCACCGCGGAGACCCTGTCTTCAAACCCAGATTCTTGAGATCAAGTCAGACCTTAGACCTGTCGCTCAGTAACAGGAATGATCTACTAAAGGCATAGGAAAGGGGAAAGGGGACACTCAAGGGAGAGAGGGGTCCTCGGAGAGGGGAGGGACATGGGCCTCTGCTGCACTCCAGGTTTATGGGGGATCCCAGAGAAGGTTCCAGCCCTTGACTTTTGACTGACCTCAGGGTGACATCAGACTTTCCTGCTGTCGTGGCAACTCTAGGTCACCTTGGCTCATGCTGGCTGGTTCTAACTGGATTCTGAGCCATACACTCTGAGATTTTCTGCTTATCTTCTGGAGTTTCAGGATCTGGTCCCCAAGATGTGGGTTCCTCCCCAGATATTATCTGGGGCCTGCGTTTCTCCTGCAGTTAATGTGGAGTTTGCTGAGGAATGTGACCTATCCTGTCCACTTAGGCAGAGCAGGGCGGCAGGTAAATGGCTTCTGGGAAAAGGAAGCATGTGGGGGTCAGCACAGTGGGCCCAGTTTGTAGAACTCCTCTCCTAACCTCGGGTCCCCCTCCTCACCTGTCTGTTTCTCAACACTGACAGCGGG